ATAATGTACGCTTGTATTATACTACACTATATGATATTGAAATATGAGGGTGCTGCGATATCTCTTGTGCATCAACCCGACCCCTACCCCCACCCTACCGACGAAGTCGATGACCAAGAAATAGTACATGAATTGCGCAATGTTGAAACCCACCACCAGTTTCGATTCGATCTTATTGATGACATTGAACATGTCTACATTCCAACTCTGGATAATAACTAGTTAATTTTAATTGTCGTTTTAGGATTTAAATTTTAATTGTTTCGGTGACTGCAATTCCAACCACCACATGTGTCTGTAGCTCGAGCACCGTAGGTTTGGACACCGACCCGTAACTTTGGAGTACCAACACTACAACTTCATAATAAGCTTCTCCCAAACTTTTCTCATATGTGAAAAATTCTATCTTTTTCACTAACTTGTCACTTTCGAACATGTTTTTCCATCGCCAAAGGCCTTTACAGGGGCGAACTCGCCCCCTGCATTTCGTGTTGTTTGGGATCAAACCCGCCTTATACAAATATGCATTCCACACGACTTTGACTTGTATTAGATCATAACTTTGATCCCCTTTAAAACTAGTATAATTCTCGTTACACTTACATGGCTTTATAGATAAATGACACAATGTTGGTAGGTAACAAGTCTACCTCTTAGAATAAACTTGTTCTCATCAAGATCAATGTTATAGCTCGAAGATTCGTATCGAACTCGGATCCTATGCAAGTAAACCTTGATATAAGAGGGATTGACATTGACTTCACTTTTATGTCCTAACTATGAGTCAAATATTGAGACGATTTGTAACGCCCGTAGATCCGGGCTAGTCAATCTAGAGATAATAGGGGTCGAAAACGACGTTTCGACAAAAGATTATTTAGAATAAATAATATTAACCAAGTCGTAGAATATGTCTCAAGGTTTCCGTACGTAAAAAGAACGCCGAAATCCGAGTTATAACGAGGAAGTTATGACCCGTCGAAGTCTTACGGCAAAACCAGCACGGCACCGGGAGACGTAAATAGTGAATTTACGATAGAGCGACTTTTAGCCTTAGCGATCTAAACGAAAGTCATAGAAAACGTTAAACCGAGAGCGTCCATAAAAAGAACGCCCAAATCTGACTTCGTATGAGGAAGTTATGATTTTTCGAAGTTTCGGCTTAGCAGTGTACAACCCGAAGTTCGAATATTAGATCGAGCGGTTTTTAGCCGACACAACCTAAACGAGAATCGAAGATCTCGTTAATAGTAGCGTATCAATAAAAAGACAGACGAAAACGGACGTCAGATGAAGAAGTTATGGATTTTTAACGGACCAATCCTGTCCCGGCCTGTTAAAAATATAACTTTTAAAATAAAGTCAAAATTAGCCAACGGAGTCTAAACGAAAGTTGTAGAGTACGTTCCCGCCTACTCGTGGATATAAAGAACGTCGAAAACGGAGCTCGTATGCGAAAGATACGAATTTTTAAAGATTAGACTCGAAATTACGAAGCCTGTTGCTCGATTGATGACGTGGCAAGATCCTAGCCATCGCTTGCTGATCACGGCTCGCTTCGGATGAAGGACACGTCACCCTCGCACTACGCCCAGCGTAGCCTCTTCCGAACGCACCGCGTACGCGAGCCTTCCCTCGGTCCAGCTTAAGCCACGTCGCACCACCCGGAGACCGCCACCTCGCACCCTATCCGAAGTTACGCCCAGCGTAACTTGCTGAACGCGCTGCGTAGGTCCGAAGTTCCGACCCTATAAATACCATGCGAGATTGCCCGGATTTTTCACACATTTCCACTTCTCTCTCTAAATACTTTCTCTCTCTAACCCATTCCAACTCCCCTAAACCCTAGGAAAAAACCCCTAGCACCCAAAGGAAGCCCCGAGGCTCCCGGAGTCCCGAGAAAAAGGGTCTTTCGGTTCGGAAACGCTGCTCCGAGCAAAGCCCGGTTTTTAAGAAAACCGGCTGTAAGTGAGCTCCGCCTACGCAATTTTTAATATAACTTTTAAATAATTATAGTAATGTTATTAGGTCCTTAAAATAATTATTTGCGCTATTATTATGAGTTATATTGAGTGTTATTTAACGCTTATATAATAATAATAATAGCTAAACTATTAATTAGTCGCGGTTAACATTAGACTAAACCCTAGTGGTATTGATACTAGGTTTTGTCGAGGGAAAAATTATTTTGAGATAACGAAGCGCTGTTCGAGTGTCGAGCCACCACCTTAACAAGTGAGTGCATAGTTACTTTCAGCTTACACATAGATATGAAGTATTCTATATAAATTACGTGCTGTGTGTGCATATTATCTGTATACTTGCTATCTATGCTGGATGAACAATTTTATACCTGTTTTAAATGATTTAAACCGTATATGTATTTTATATCTACAAAATGTGTTGGGTAAAACATGGGTAGATGAAATATGAGTTGAATGATGAGATGATGGATGAATTAGACCATGAGGTGAGGGTGAGAGGTGGACGATGCGAGAAGCCTTTTTCCCAAATAATGGCCCCGTCATTCAGCAGAGTATGGATGACAACCACAGACTATTCTAGACAGTCCAGTGGAACACTAGCAGGCTCGCAACCTGTAGGTGCTGTGAACGATGTGTTCACCCGGTGTACTCTAAACCCTGGTGATCATGCAGACTTGATGCCTAAACCTTGGTGATCATGCAGACTTGATGTCTAAACCCTGGCGACTATGCTGACTTAGTGCCTGTTGTGTAAACCGTGACAACGATGGACTTCGTGCCGATTCCTTTAAGAATGAATGAACGAGGAATAGCTGATTCTTAGGGTAGATCCTTAAGAGTAAAGAAGATAATGGGGATGGGTAATTGGGTTAATTGTTTGATGATTAAACATAATAATTATATTATTGTGGGTTGAAAACCCTATGTATTCACCAGGTTTCCCAACCTGACCCACTCAGTTTATTTGTATCACAGGTGTCGATGTGAAGTTACTTTACACTGAGAGATTTAAAAGAGATGTAGATCACTAGTGTAAATGAATGTAAGTTCTGTTTATGCTTATGTTTCTGTATTGACGATGACATCCCAAATGTTTTAAAATGAATAAAAATACATTTCTTCGGAAATGCTTTGATAACGTATTTATCATGTTTTTCTGGGAACAAATTCCGCAAGATTTTTATTAAAAGAAGTACTCTGATTTTTATAAAGCATAAACAAAATCGGTCTTTTCTGGCCGTGAAAATGGGGATGTCATACGATTGATTACATTTTTATAACTTGTCATTTAGTTTCATCATTTTGGTCCCTTATAGCATATTGACAGAAACTCTAGTGGTTAAAAATCCTCGTATTCAGATTCCCTTGTTTCGTCATGGCACACCCCTCCCACAAACACGACCCAACTCAAGGGGACCAGAAAAGGTCATTCGTTTCCCCCTGAGTAGGCAGCAAAAACTTTTTGGACAAAAATGATAAATTTTGACAAACAATTTTACAATTTTATCATAAACAAATAAATAACTGGCTTCAAAACTCCATTATAGTTATTTTTATCCAATAACTTGTTTTTTGCATCATCTTATTATCTAATAACATTTCTACTATTATCAAAATAACAATTTTCGACAAACCACAGAGACCATTTTATATAATAAGTTGTTAGGAGTATGATAAGATGAGTGTGCGTCTAAAAAAATGTTTCCAAGTTAAATCATTACTTTAAATAAATAACTTATAAAATATCTTGTTTTATAATAATGTTCAATCATATTAATTTCAATAAAAATGTAATCTAAAGTCTATTTATATTTGCTAGAAAAATCTATCTCTTTGATTCCATGTTTGTGTGTGTTTTTTCTTCGTATTTTTCATTTTTGGACCTCAGCCGCCTACCCACCCACAACACCCCATCCCATCCCACCCCTACCTACACCCACAAACACACACACGTTCACGCCTACTCCAACATTAACATGCCTCACCGATACTGACACCCACCTCACCCCACCCTTACACCCACACCACCCATCCCGTCCCGCCCCGCCTCACCCCACCCCACACCCCTACCCTCACCATACCCTGTCACCTACCCTTACCCTACGCACACACCTACACCCATTCTTGCCCTACCCTATCCCCAACCCTAACATCCACACTCACACACACCCCACACCCACACACACACACACACTCTATCTCTCTCTCTCACACACACATATATCATACCCATAAGCACGCCAACAACTCCCGATCCACCCTCCACCCGCACTCACACACGCTCACCCATGCAAACAAGCCGACATTGGCTTGAGTGGGTAAAAATTTAATCAAAGAAAGTTGTATCATTTTCAGAAATAATAGTAAGTTTAAAAAATCAATAAAAGGTATTTTGGTCATATTATGTAATTTACTTTCCAATTCCTCTGAGAAATCTGCAAACCAAACAGCAAATCAAACAGAAAACAAATTCAATTCCATGTCAATCAAATGCATAAAAGATTCCAATTCCTTTAGATTTCATTCCTTCCAAAGACATTATGGGAAGCAAACGCCCCCTTAGTTTGTTATTCTTATAAAAGAATACTCTCTTATCAAATCTTATAAAGAATCCCTTCTCAACATATGGTCATTAAAATGCCCTCAAATTTAAAATGTTGTAATTAAAAGGTCAATTTGTAGATAATGACAGGTAACCTAGAAAAAGAAAAGGAATCATAATATACATTAAATAGCAATAATTTATAACAAATAGGTAATCAAATTGTTTGTTTATAAGTTTATTATGAGACATTTTTATGTGATATTATCATAAACGTTTTTTTACAAATTACTTTTGTACACTAAAATATAATGATTTAAAATACAAAATATAGCAGACTAACTCATGGATACCTGAGTACTTCTATTTGTTTGGATCATGTTATCTTCATTTAACAAGTAATATAATTACAAATTACAAATTTTCTCTTTGATTTAACACATCTACTTTAATGTGTTAAATCCAGGTACATACACCAAGTTTTAAAGCAACCATGCTAAATTTGCATAACATATGATCTGTATAAAACTATAAACTGCTGACATCCAATACAACAAATAACAATACACACAAAATGATGATTCATACCTTCAATTATTATTCTCAGAAATTGCACTACAAACCCATACATTATACTCATCCATCCGAATTATAAATGAGCTTGAACTAGGAGAACCTCCTCCACCATATACCTATGCATACAACAAATATATATATAAAGTTCAATTCAAGAAATAGCAACCTACTTTTATTCATTTGTTTATTACATCTTAAATGAAAATACATTTCTATATCTTACATTTACTTATATATATATATATATATATATATATATATATATATATATATATATATATATATATTTCTGTTATGCATACCTTTGCAATCACAGATGTATCAGTGGAGCTATCTTTACTTCGCAGACACATTTTAAGATTTTTCCCTTGCATGTAAACAACTGCTCCAATAGGCCTAAACTTATAAACTTTTTGTTATTATTACATTTATCGGATCCAATTAAATTATGTAAAACATACATTTTTATAAAACTGAAATACCTCAAACCAGCTGCTTCACTTTTTATGCTGAGTTTCTTGCCCGATTTCATCACTTAAATTAGGGTTTCCATCGATTCTAACCCCCAAACACTCCCCATATAATCCTCTGCCCAACCTAACTTTAAACACCTTTTCCAGAAATTTAGATGATAAACTCTCTTGATCAGCTATGGTAGCACTTCCATGTGCAACTAAATTCATCACGTTAATCTTCATTAACTGTTTAGATATACAAATTTGAGCAAAGTTTAGTTTACAATCATATAGAAAAAGTTCAAAAACATTAAATAAAAGACATAATAAGTGTTGTATGGATAAAGTGTTGAATGATGATCATGCTTAAGAACAAAGAATGTTCTTTGGACTGAACCAACAGTCATAATGAGAGTAAATGACCATTTTACCCTTCTGTATAGAAGGGTTGCACTAACAGATTGTGCGTTGGTAAAACTTAAAACAAAATAGAGGGCAACAAAAACATTTGTTAAGGCATAAAGTTAAGAAAAGCATGAAACCTGTTCAAACATATGTGGATTTGTGATGCAATTCAACTTTGAACGCCAAATGGAGAGTCCAATATTGAATTCTTTGATATCTGGCAAGCTCCACCTTCGAAGATCTCCATCCTCAATGTATTTAAGGACCATTTCCACTCTTTCTTGATCTTCACTGTTTAATAGATTTGCAGTATGTCCCTAGTTAAGAGAATATGTAAACAAAGGTTATAAAAGCATTAGTAGTGAATATTCTGTTAGTATTTGACTCAAACTGTATATTGGAAGGTTTTATTAGTTTTTGTGAATTTCAGATACTGATGCAGTGATAGTTGATCCAGCAACCAAATGCAGTGATTAAACATTCTATCACCCAAGCTAACTATGTAATTAATCAAATTACATTTATGAGAGTCTTCAACCACAAAGACGCAATGAAGTTGTAATCAAACAAAAGCATCATATGAGATAACAGGATACCTGATTTACTTACATTATTAGACCTCGTTTCTGATAGCTTGGCACAGAAATAGTCATATACAGCAGAGGAACTGCTCTTCTCCAAATTGACATGGTATGTAAGATTGCTGTTATGATCCTCATACAAATGGATATCAGACAGTGTGGACTTTCGGTGATCAAATCCTATCACCCTAATTATTTTAAGAATCGACCAGAAAATAAGCGATTCACATTAGGATGGACACACATAAACAAGCGGAATGAAGAAACTTGATTACATACTGGCATGATGTCCGCCGTGAAAGCTCAGCTGCAAACCCTTTTGGGCCAAGAAAATCAAGAAAGTAATATTTCTCAACTCCATCAATACACAAATCTTCAACCCTGTTTCAGATATGATCATCCAACTTAAAATGATAAAGTAACAAATGCAGAGAACGACGAATCAAGAATGCATAATGTGGTGAATTCACAAATCCCAACAACAAACTTGTTAATGTTCAGTGGGAGAATGTAGAATCATTTTACCTGAAAGGTTCGACGGATGAGAAGGGCAAGATGAGGCATGGGATATTGAGGTGGCGATGAAGAAGGTGAGCAAATAGAGCTGAGAATGCTCCGGAAAAAGAAGGATAGTTGTAGAGAACTAAGTTTTGGGTACGTTCTTCGCGAGCTTTAGTGAGTGATTCCAGTGCGGCATTTGATCGAAAACCTTGCGGGCGTCCTAATGTTGTGGCTTGGAATCTAGCGATTCCGCTCCGGTTCTTCCCAACGAGTGAGATCGAGTGTCTGAGTGTCATTTGCTACCATCAAATTACCTCGGACTTGTTATTCCTTTTACCCATTGAAAAGGAAAACTGGAAACAGGTCCGTACATATATCGTTTTACTATCTATTATTAATAGGATTTAAAATATATATATATATACAGAAGCAAGAACAATTGAGAAAATAAAAAAGGTTGAGAATGGGGGAATCGTTCTCGCCACTCATTTATTTTTGCCGTAAAATCCTTTGTTGTACCAGCGAAAATGGATAAGGAATACACATGTGTTTCCAACAAAACATGTTTGCTTAAACTATGCTAATCATTACCTTAATATATACAAAAACATAGTTTTTTTTTTTGTTTTTTTAATTTTTAAGAAGCTATTTATATCGAAAAATGATTTTAAATATACCAAAATTCATGATTTTTTATTCTCTACAAATAGACATCCATATTGATATACTTTTAAGATAAAATAAAAAATTTATTTTTTTTATATTTTCAGCTATCATTATTCATAAGTGAATAAAAATGCATCAGATTTTTGCTACAGTACATTCGTTATTCACTTATGAATAAAAATATATAATTAATTTTTTTTACAGTTTAAGTATCATTTATACTACTTATTCATATATAAATAACAAATTAACTGTAACAAAAATCTGATAAATGTTTTATTCATATATGAATATAAAATATGACGACAACTAATACACGTTTTATTCATATATAAATATAATATATGATGAAAGATGATGTAAAAAATATATTTAAGTAAAAAACTTTATTGCGTGTCATATTCATATATGAATGATACTTAAACTATAAAAAAAGTTACGCATACGTTTTATTCATAAGTGAATAACGAATATACTGTAATAAAAATATGATAGATTTTTTTATTCACTTATGAATAACGAGAGCTGAAACTCTAAAAAAATAAATTTTTTATTTTATCTTAAAAGTATATCAATATGGATGTCTATTTATAGAGAATAAAAAATTATGAATTTTGATATATTTAAAACAATTTTTCGATAATAATGGCTTTCTAAAAATAAAAAAAACGAAAAAAAAGTATGTTTTTGTGTATATTAAGGTAATGATGAGCATAGTTTAAGGAAACATGTTTGGTTGGAAAACACATGTTTATCCGTTATCCATATCCGACGGTACGCCTAAGTGTTTTGCGGCAAAATAAATGTGTGGCTGAGAATGATTCCCCCATTCTCAACCTTTTTTTTTCTCAATTGAACCCTCCTCTATATATATATATATATATATTATATATATATATATATATATATATTATATATATATAGAGAGAGAGAGAGAGAGAGAGAGAGAACTAGGTTCAGGTGTTAAAGTAAGTAGTATTGTGTTATTGTATGTATAAATGTGGGCCAATCAAAATTTAAAATAAAAATAAATAATTAAATAAATAAATAAGGGTAAATAGGTAATTTGATAATTAGTTTCCACAAATAATAGCCTATAATTATGGTAACCATTGACTTAGCTACCTAGGTTTTTTCTATCCGCTTTTTAAAACCACAATGGCGAATTAAAGGGGTGTTTTGGCTCGGTGACTCTTTGTGTTCCTTCTCCCATCGTCGGCAGCCCCAAAAGCAACATAGGCAGTGGCTGTTGACAGACAAGAAATCGCATGTAGAGAGGGATGGGCAATCGATCTCCGGAGGACTCCTCCTTGGTGCATCTGCTTCGTCACCAGTGATTACAAGCCCGATGATACAAAGTCGTCGCCACCATCGTCCGCCCCAAACACCTTCTTCGCCACCGGCCTCTGCACTGCTCATGCTCTTTATTCGCCAACAGCAATGCCGTTTGTGATCGGTATGTAGCTTGTGATTTATCTTCATCTTAAAAACCAAGTTATCAACGGTTCTTCGTATGTTCAGAGACTGTATTTGATGAACTTGAAGCAATCGTGTATTTGATCGGTATGTAGTTTGTGATTCTTTATTTGAGTGAGGATTGTTTATTTGTAGCGGATACAATTTTTTATAATCAGAGGAACCAGTGGGTATTGTTGATTGAAGTATAATAACAATTAATCAGGATTTTTATGTCATATTCCTAATTAGAAAGATTACAAACTCACAGAATGCATACACTCTCCACAACCTTTTAGGTTAATTTCACCTCGTAATTTTCACCTCGTATATAACAAAAATGTTTGATTATGAAGGACAAGTTGTTGAAGGACAAATCCAACACCCCAAGATTACTCAACTGTGACAGGCTGGTAGGGATTCCACCAACAAGGACCGATGTCTTTAGGGCGCCCCTAGTGAATTGCTTCAACCCTAACTCCCCCCTTTCAACAGATTGTGTTTTGCTTTTTTGGATTTTAATATAGCTGCTATAAAATTCTTTTTTTTATTTGTTTCTTTTGCAGGTTTCAAAGAATTGAGAGGGACGAGGAAGAGTTTTGTTTCAATATTAGGTTGGTTTAGTGAATTGAAAGACAGTCTTAGGTTTCATTGAAATTTGATTGTTTATTTTGTTTAATTTTGTTAATGATATTTGTTGCTTCTGCTTATTTTAGGGCTTGATTCACTACCCAACTGATCAGTTTGATTTTCCAATGGGGTTGTACAAGACTATAAGTTCCAATTCTGTTGGAATCACAAATTCCAATTCTGTTGGAATCACAAATTTTTCCTCATGATCTGCTGGAATCACAAATTCCAATTCTGTTGGAATCACAAATTCCAAATAGTGATCAATTCTGTTGGAATGGAATCACGAATTCCAATTCTGTTGGAGTCACAGAAGTTGATGTTTGAAGAACGGACGCAAAATTGAAAGTGATTCTAAGCAACATTATTCTTTTTTAATGTATTAGTGTCGTTGTTACATTTTGATGTTTTCTTACCCGTTTTGAAAGTTTTTTTAGTTTTATTCTTTAACAATAAATGTAATTCTTAAAAATTGTTACCCGTATTCTATAAGAAATAATGTATTTTTTGTTTTTATTCTTCAATTGATTGTTCAAGAATTTGTTATTCTACAAGAAGTTTTTAAAGTCACGATCAAGAAATAGGTTCAAGAATATTTTTATTATTTATGGTTCAAGAATATTATTATTTTTGAATATACCCATAAACATATTCTGTCAGAATGTCCGAATTAAAAGAATTATAATTCGTAAAATCGGATTTTTAAAATTAATAGAATCCATGATTCCTTAAAAAATGCAATTTTCCTTTATTAAATCTATATTAATTGACTAAAATACCCTTGCAATTAATTAAGATGATATTTTTCAATTATATTTAATTCAATAATATATATATTAATCACTTTCTTAAAATAGTAATTTGATTGACCCACATTTATGCATACAATAACACAATAATTACTTTGAATAGAATAACCTAAGTCTATATATATATATATTATATATATATATATATAATATATCTATATATATATATTAATATATTATAATATATTATATATATATAAGGCTAGGTTATTTTGTTTCCTACATCTATTGTGTGCCCGTATGCACAATTCTGGACCAATAGATGAATAAAATCAATGGGCATGATCTGAGGGTCTACGATATTAGAATAGGGTAACATGTACCATATAATCACTCAAATTTAATTAAAAGGGTATTTTAGACAATTAACTATATTTAAAAAAAGGAAATTTTCGAAATCAAAGGGATAATTCTGATTTTTTTTAAATTAATTCAATTTCAGTTCTAATTTAATTTGTAATCATAACCGATTATAACTTATTTTATTCTGTCAGAATGCGATTCTATTAGAATGAAATTTTGTTATAATGACATACTGTTAGAATAAAAGTTTATGACATCCTTTAAGCATACATAAATAAGAAGAAAACATGAATAAGTACATTATGAAACAATATACAAAATTGATTCTTGAACTAATAATATATCAAATAATTATATTCTATGATTGTGATACAAAAAGAACATTCTTGAATAATAACAACATTCTGAAAGAATAACAAGTGTAATTCTTAAAAACCAACAACATTCTTAAACTATGAGTATGATCAATCTTTGATTCATTCTTCACGTCATTCCTATAAGGTCTTAAAGCCATTCCTATCACAAATCCAAGAAAAACATCAAAATCCAACAAAAAACACTAATTCATTCTGAAAGAATAATATTGCTAAGATTCATTTTATACATTCTGACGGAATACATTCTACTATAAGGCACTCTTGTTCTCCATATTTTCTTTCTTTTCCACATGAATGAAAAACTCTTCAAAACCTAAAAAGAAAAAAAAATCATTAAAATCTAACAAAAGCATTAATCCATTCTGAAATAATACTGTTGATAAGATTTGTTTTATAAAATTTGGCAGAATACATAAAATACATTCTGCTAGAATACAAACATTTTGAAAGAATGGATTTATATAAATAAATTCTGATAGAATACACACAAATTCATTCACACATCATACTCAACTTTCACATCATAATCCACTAATTTCTTCTCAAAAACAACACTAGTTCGGGTTTTTTACAAACTAAAATACCAAAATAACATAACTACACATACTAACTTCAATTCTAAAAGAATATTTCATTTATGTTTCTTGCTTAAACTTCAATTCCATAAGAATTCTAACAGAATAGTATCTACTTTACTTCTAACATAATATTTCAAGACAAGTATAAACATGTTACAGTAATTCTAACAAAATAGAATGTAGTTTACATTAACATATTCTGACATAATCTTCCCAAATAGTTCAGCATATCAAACTTACATGAAGAATAACAACATTCTTAAGGAATACTCATCTATTACTAACATTATTCAATAATAAAGTTCAAAAAATAAACAAAGAATGGCATTTGCAGTTGACATTAAAGACTTATGCAAGTTTTGTTTAATCGATATCAGAATTTACATCTATTTTTTTACAAATAAAAATACGACATAAAAGTATAATTACAAGCTTAAAGATAAAATAACGGCTCAAAGGAAATACAAGATACTTACTGGAATGTTCACCTTAGAGAGGATAACATATATAAAAAAATTCTAGTAATAAAGAAGACAAATTTTAGCAAATGGTGCAC